CAGGCTTCCCGCAGAGCAGGGAGCCCGATGCGGGGCTCGATCCCAGGACCCTGGGATCATGACCTGAGCCGAAGGCAGACGCTTAAGGACTGAGCCACCCAGGCACCCCTCGATGTAAAATGTTTTAAGGCAAAGTATGAGTGTAAAATACATGCAGAGCTCAAATGAATTTTAAAGAAAGTTCGGCGCTGTTGCTGCTGGGCAATTGACACGGCCTGTTCTGACCTCTCAGGGTGTAATGTGAACTCAGCAGAGAGGGTCGCTTCAGTGGAAAAGTTTGAGAAGCACTCCTCCCTCAAAACAGCGGGGTGCATTCCCAACCTTCCCTCCTTTGCAAATAGGCTGTTCGCAATCGGTTCCCAGCTGTCTCCAGAACAGGGCAGCTCAGGCATTGAGATGCTGGAGACCGACACGTTCAAACTGCACTGCTTCCAGACACTGACAGGTAGGCGTCTCCATATAGGCCAAAGGGATGCAGTGGGGCAGGCTGGGGAAAGGGACTGACCAAAGACAACTTTGGTAAGCAAGGGGGTGGTGGTTAACTTTTCCTGGGACAATTGCACAGACACATACGTCTATTTGTTTTGTGAATCCAAAGCCAATATTTAATCTGATGCCAGTTTTGTCCACGCCACCCAGAATGCTCAGCCCTGGGTATCCTGTGTGCAGATAAAACTCACCGTAATGGTATCTCATGTTGCACACGTTTCGGAAGGTGTGTTTCAAAATGAAACCTGAATGCCAAATGGAAATGACCTTTGGATCGTGTCATTGCCTCACTTCCTTAATGGGGATGATTGAAAACTGCCTGAGTCTGCCCGCTGCCTGGCACTTGCTGCTGAGGGACCACAAGATTAGGAATTAAGTGACAGAGCTAGATGTCAAAGCGTGGTCTCAATCAGTTGGGTGATGTGATAAAGTCACTTCCCTGCTCTGGTCTTAGGATTCACAGTTTTGCTTTTCCTGCTTTATGGAGCAATAAGGATAAAAATAAAAATGGGCTTATGAAAATGCCATATGCACACAGGATGATGTTATTTGCTGCATTCTGTACCCTCTTGTAACCATTCTTGGTCCTTCTCCAGGGATCAAGTTTGTGGTGCTGGCAGATCCTAGGCAAGCTGGAATAGATTCTCTTCTACGAAAGATTTATGAGATCTACTCAGACTTTGCCCTCAAGAATCCATTCTATTCCCTGGAAATGCCCATCAGGTAGGCGGTCCCCCTCCCCAGATACTGGTCAAAGCGTCCTTGCCCCTCCCTTTGTGCTCTTCCCCGAGTTCATTTTTCAAAAGGATAAGAAGAGTTACTTTTTTAAAAATTTTTTTAAGATTTTATTTATTTGTGAGAGAGAATGAGAGACAGAGAGCATGAGAGGGAGGAGGGTCAGAGGGAGAAGCAGACTCCCTGC